CCAATAATAATACAAGTAACAGTGTAACATTCAACTTTATGTCTCCATTTAATAAAATTCTGAAAAATAATTTGTCACTTTATTTTATAAATATCTCTATTACATATTTAGTATTATCACTCCCAGGTTTGCTGCCTTCAATATGCCAAAGGCCAAGGGTCTCAACACTGTGAACAAATGGCAAAACCTGGCACTGTCATGTTTAACACTTGAAAAAATACTTACCATAGTGAACAAATGATGCAGGGTTCATTTAAAATTCGTTGGTAGGTTAGCTTTAAGGTGATAACTAACAATAAACTACAGAGCAAAGCAATGAATTCTGAAGGAATCTGTTCCTATTCAGTAGCAGAGCAAAATCCTGAATGGTGTTACTTCTGTGGTTTCGTGGAAAACCTTCAAACTATTCAAAGTATGTGTTTTAACAAGCAGTTTAGAAAGATTTCTTGCATCTGCCTGATTGCATGGCAGAGACAAACACAGATTTTTGAAGCTGCACCTTTTAAGTCACAATTTAGAATAACTGAAATTTGCAAAACATTTAAAATAGAAACTCCTGGTACAGTCATATTGTTACTCAGAAATCCAACTAGTAATAAAGTCAAGTTATAACAAAAGAGAAAAGCATTCAAAGTGAAATGCTTGGCAAATTGTTAAGATAGCAGAAAAGCATTAAGAAACAATGACCTACATTTACAAATATACTTCAAAATCTTTCATTTTAAAAATACAGAAAAAAATTGGCATTTCTTCAAAGTTTGAATATATATATTTGGGATATGGTTTCATATGAATGATGACCCTTTGGAGAAATCACAGGCATCCACAGATAGTAATCTAGATAACCAGAGGCAAATGAATTTGGCCCTTTTACTTTTCTCAAGACAATTTACAACTGTCTCAAGACATAATCACTATTTTAACAAATTATTGACTTATACTGTATTTTCTATTTAACTCCAACAAAACCAAATAAAATTTTATTTGGTGTTTGGGAGGACATGCCAAGACAACAAAAAGTCTTTAAAATCAGTATTTTATATATTTTAAAACAACTGTAAGGAGTAAAAAGACCTCTTGTCATTAATAAGATGTAAACTACAGAAAAAGCTTATATTTCTCCAATATAAGCATTCTTCTACTTGATGTGAGAACTGCCAGTTTTGAAAATTTATAGCAGAAAATCATGTTCTCCTTTGCAAACTGTTCTTATTTATACCTGAACAATGTTCTTTTTTATTTATATCTATAAATATATATTTATTTTTAATCTTACAAATGAAGTCATTTAATATACTCTAATAAATGCTTCCATTTACTGAGTACCTACTATGTGACAGGCACCATGCTAAATATTTTAAAAACATTTTATCTCCCTTTCACAATAACAATGCAGTTTTAACTTCCTTTGCTAGGAAAGAGAGGGTAGAAAACAAATTCTCATTATTCTTTGTTTTCTTTTTCTTTTGCTTTCTAATTTTCTTCTACCTAGCTGGCAGCACAGTGCCTCAGGTATTTGACTGCTAACCAGAAGGCTGGCAGTTCAAACCCACCAGCCACTCCTCAGAAGGAAGGTTGGGCAATCTACTTCCATAACGATACCGCCTCAGAAACCCAAGGAGGGGTTGATATGAGTCGGATCCAACTCGACGGCACATAACAACAACAACAACATACTTTTCAAAAGAAAAAAAGTTCAGTTTAAAAAAAAAAAAAATCCCACCTTTAACTACCCTCCTCATATATGGCATGTAAAACCACTTGATTGATTTTCTTCCCACAGAACAACTCAAGTTATTTAATTCTTGGAAATATAAAATAAAAAGCATTAAAATGACAAGAAAATATTAGATTATAAATTCCCAAAGTGAATCCAAGGACAGCTCCATAAATAACAAAGTATCCATTTCAGTTGGTTCCAAAGAATGCTGAGTCCCCAGCATTTTTTACTGGTCATTACTTTTCTCTGACTTCCTGAGGTATATAAAAGCTGAGTTTTAAGGCTATGTCTCAGCTTTTTACTTCCACTCCCTGCTTGATCCCCCCATCCAGTGATGATGGAGGTAGTTCAATCAATCCATGTAGAATTAAATTACCGACCTTAAAAATTGGACATTTATTAATTAGGAAAGTAATATTTTATAGAGATGTAATCATTTTACAGAATAGGTTTATTCCTGAAGACCAGGTTAACTTCTATAAACCAAATCACACTTTCAGCCCAAGGGAGGAGAAAATGGTCCAGATTTACACTTGTGAAAGCTGTGAAAAATTTTTAATCATACATTTAAAACAGGAAAAAAAAAAAGCAATTATAACTTTCTAATTAAGAATTAATGAATGGTCAAACTTATTTCAAAATTATGCAAACAAGTGGCATAATCATTAAACATATTCTATTCCATCTATATCCAAGTGAGTAGAAGACATATGCCCTAAGGATTGCCTGCTTTTTGAAAAACGGGAATTTCCTGCATTTTCTCTGAGTATAGCAAAACTCCTTAACTATATAATCATGACGTTCACTCCCTCATTTAAAACCCCTCTCTTCACATAGACTTGCTAGTGAAGTCAAGAAACTTTCTAATGCAGACAGATCCTTAACAAATTCCACTAATGGGACTTTAATCGTGTCTTTTGCAATACAGCTCATTCACCCATTGTTCGTTCATTCATTCATTCAAATATTTTTTAGGTGCCAACTATGCACCAGGCATTGTTGTAGATGATGGGAATACAGAAATGAACAGAACATAAAAAGGTCCCTGCCCTCTTGGAGCTCACATTCTAGTTCCTCAAAAGGGATCACCAACTAAAACACAAGTATTCAAAGTCCAAGAGGAAAGTTTTCTGAAAGGCTCATCACTTGGTTGTCCCCCAGGAGCAAAGGCTACAAAGAAGCACTTCATTTAACACCTGCAACGCATTTTATTTTTATAAAAAATAGGAGAAAAATCCTGGTTAGTTTCTAAATTTCCCTGAACTATATTTTATACTTTAAATTAAACTTTAATTTTAATTTATACTTCTAATTTCCCCCAGTTTACACTTTCCATTTCTCACACATTCTATTAATTCCTTGAAGAGAATAAAAGAGAGAGAAGAGAGAACCCTTTTTCCATTTCTAACTTAACTGACTGATGATCAACAGGTACCAATCAAGTGAGGTCTGCATAAAAACAATCCTTTGTTATAAAAGAATGTGCTTCACAATTACAGGATTGTTTGGCACTGCTGCCTTGGCATGACTTAACCATCAACTGGGATTTTGACTAGAGATGCATTTGTAGATCTAGTTCTTGGTTCTATGAACTTCTATTTTTACTGTCCCAATAACTGCAGTTATGCTTCCTCGTTAGGATTATTTTGTGGTAATTAATATGAGGGAGACTAGATGTTCCCCTCAGCAGGGGTTGCAGTTAAGTCTGCTTGGCACTACTGTCAGCGCAGTTACTGCAAATGTGCTCTGAACCCTTCTTCCACCCAGCCCTTAATTCCTACCTCTGCCTTTACTTTTTCTAATGAAAAGCCATTCAAAGTCAAGGTCAGTATCACAGCAAATTTAAATTGACTCAGTTTGACACAGCCAGGCCACACTGTTGCCAAGGTCAGTGGTCCTTAATCTCTCCTTGGGCTTCTTCTCCCTCTCCCTGTCATCACCTGCAGAACTCATTCCACCAGCACTACCTTCCTGCATTCCAGCTGACAAAGAAGTTAGGAAATTTACAAGTACGCCACGGAGTGAGAAAAGATGCAAAGCTAGGAATTAGAATATCAACTTCACTCTGCACAGAAGGATGCAGAAAGATCCAGGTATAATAAGGAGCTCAAGTCACTCCATGCATGATTTCTGCATTTCCATTACCATATTTATTCAACAAATATTTACTGAGTGCTTACTATGTTCCAGGGACTGTTACACAATTGGTTGCTTTTAATGGGAATATACCAACACTTCTCCAAAGCAAAGGTGGTAAATTTCTGACCTATAGACATAGAATTATCAGCTTAATTTTGTCTTTTCCAATGAGCAGGAATCAAGAAATGAAAACACAGTAAGCCTCTTATTGCTTATTGAAAGCAACAAGATGGAGGAAAAGAAATGGCTTATGCCTTTCTCCTTTTCTGCTGTATCCACCTGTCTCTACTTCTTTGCTCTTGTTTTCTCTTCCCCATTCTGCCTCCTTTCCTTAACTGGCCACAATACAACAATGGAATATATTATTGTTGTTGTTGTTGTTATGTGCCGTCGAGTTGGACCTGACTCACAGCGACCCCTCCTTGGGTTTCCGAGGCAGTATCACTACGGAAGTAGATTGCCCAACCTTCCTTCTGAGTAGTTGCTCGTGGGTTTGAACCACCAGCCTTCTGGTTAGCAGTCAAGTGCCTTAGGCACTATGCTACCAGTATTTACTGAATTATATTCCCATTTTCAATGTAAAAGGCAACAGACAAACAAAAAAGCCTTTGGTTGCTTTTTGGGGGTGGAGTGGGGTTATAGGAGGAGGTCTATATTCTTTGAAATTTCTTTCAGAGAATCTCCACCCATTAATTCAATTAATTAAAATTCCATTTTGGCAAGCACAGATATTTCATTAAGAGTAAAACAATAATCACAGACTTCAAGAATCTACACAAAAAAGGAATACAATCAAAGTTCATAAGACATAAGTGCAAAAGGTAAATAACTATTTCATGGAGAAAGTAAATAAAATCTATTGAAATTATTTCAACAAAAAAATGGAATAGAAATAAATGTATTTAAAGCAAAATTTTCATTTTCATACACTGAAAATAAGGATTCTCCACCTCTAAGAACAGTATTCAAGTGACTGTTATCACAAAATTACTTTATATTTTCCATTTTACAATTTCTCTTTAGTAATTACTATGAACTATAAATTAATCAGACACTTAATTTCCCAAAAATTAAATATTTTTCTAAAAACTATACATAATTCCCATTACATAACACAGTATCTTTTCTTCAGCACACACAGAACTATAAATAATAACTTATTCTTTATTTGTCATCTTTCTACAGAAATGATCAGGAGTTAGCCTTACCAGAAAAGTATACACATAATAAATACAAGGGTTTTAATAAACTACTCAGACTATTATGTTGTAAGTATGACTAAACATGATATCACAAATTAAGTCATTAATTGCAAAACAACAGTTTATTAACAAAAAAGTACAAAGAAGTACAAATGGACATCCTATTTCCCCTCATTATGGTCCATCTAGCTATCTCCCTTTTAATTCATGGCATGACCTTTGGAAGCTGAAAAAAATGGCTAAAATTTTTCTTTCCAACTGGCCCTAATAACCATCCAGAAACAGCTATCATGTATTTAAGTTACACAGTTCATGTCAATTAAAAAGGTTTTTTTAATTTATATGAGTTGTCATTAAAGCTACTTCCCTTGCATTATACCATGTTCCTAAACGGAATAAAACATGTCAGCATCAATATTCATAAATCATGTTTAGACATAGGGATTATCACGTCATTAGTATGTTTGCCTTGAAGTAACAGTTTACAAATGAGTCTAGAGGTGTCAAAAATGATTTTTATAGACATTTACTGAAAACATTTCAAGTCAAAAACATCTTGTGAACCAAACTAAAATTAGGTACATGGAGGACATTCAGTTTGTTGTGTTTTTTGCACTGATTATAAATCAAAGCTAATAACTTGTCTACACTTACTGCTATTACTTCAATTTTCTTCAAAAATGGTTCCCTTTCAATTTGTAATTTCAACAATTCTAAGGTTGTTCCATACTCTACAGGCCTCAAATAGTTCTTTGAATTATAGTAAAGGCTCAATATTTTGTGATTATCTCACAGTGCTCCTTAAAATACCAATACAGATGGAGAGATTTAATAAACTGTGATGTTCAGTAAATAATGACTAATTTGCTATTGTTGTTATTTCTCATCAAGAAGAACATGTTGTTTTGCTCCCTGATGTCTAAAAGCCTTGTGTAGAATTTATTTTGAGTGGTAAGCTCCAGCCATTTGGTTGATTCAGGGAGCCAGGTCAGAGGCTGCCACTCACAGTTTACTCCTTGCCTACAACTATTCTCATAAAGAACATGAATTCAGTGTTGGGTTAGGCTATAGAGTAAGAGTTCTATACCAGTGAACATTTTTGAGGAGCTGGAAAATTCAGATGACCACTCACTAAACATAAAATCATTATTCCACAAATATTTTATTCACATCAAACTTGCACAGTAGCAAAAAAAATCAAAACATAACTAAGCCACATATCAAAGAACAATATACAATAAAAATTTGAATTTTTCAATGGCATTGGAAAGAAGGTATTTCCATAAATAACATTTACAATTCTAGTGTTAGGTCTTTCAAGGAGTCTGAAGCTTCACAGTGCTAGAATTGATTTTTATCAGAACACATGCAAAAAAATGTGCAACATAATCCATATTAATGACACAAAAAGCACGCCAGTTATTTGTCATTCCAGCACGGCCATGCCACTCTATGTTTCTAAAAACAAACAAACAACCCCCCAAATCCGGGTCCCATTCATTCTTCAATTATGCCTTTAGTCACTCTGCTTTATTATATTCAAACAGTCACTGTTAGTGCTCTTCACCACGACTTTCAGGTTGACGTCACTCCCTGCCTGCTGGCTGTCAGGACTGGGGGACGCCCCTCTCCCAGACTCACCTTCTTCCGGATGTCTTCATCATTTGCTCCTAAAGAGGCATAGAGCTTGAATGCAGCCTGGCGGAGTTCATGAGCATGTTTTAAGTCATGATCAAGCTATGGGAGAGGAAAAAAAGGTAAGTTCCAACTCATACCACAAATTAAATTTTCAATAGCACTAATAAATTAGACTTGAAGATAAAATAATTAACAATTCCAATTATTTTGGGGCTGTTTTCATGAATGAGTAAAGCTTGCTGTGTTTGTGTCAGCATGACCTGAAGTGCTTACAGTTTCCGTCTGTCTAAGAGTTAACACTATAGCATCTGACACTGATATCTGAAAACCCTTTGTAAACCTTCAATCTCTAAAAATTCGTTGTTCTTAGGTGGTAGTTTACTGGCATTGATGTTTAATTGCAGTAGTTCTTTGGAATGGTCTCCTCACAAAGAAAGTACTCCCAGGCCTTTCTAACCCCAGAACCCAACTTGTAACTTGAGTGCTGTTGCAACAATGTCTTTAGGAGGTTTTCCCTAATATTCTCACACATCAGAAAACTGTAAAGTGCAGCTGAGAAAATGCTTTGCCAACAACATGTATGACAAAAAAAATATTAAATGCAGAAGGAAAATGTTAATAGATGAAAAAAAATTGGCTCTGCACAAAAGAACGAAGAACAATGGAAATGGTAAATATTTATCTGGTAAATATAAAATACTTTTCTTATTATTTTAGCCTATTAAAAGATAATTGAATGTTTAAAGCAAAAATAGCAACAAAGTATTGTGGTATTTAGAAGACATGTAGAAGTAAAATACATGACAACAGTAGAGCAGGACATGGAAGTATACTGTTGTAAAGTACTTACATTATGCCTAAATTGGTAATAATGCTATTTGACAGCAGATTGTGAAAACTGAAAATTGTAAATTGAGAGGAAAAACTTAAAGAACTTTAACTTAGAGGGCAATCCAAAAACCAAACCTGTTGCCTTTGAATCAGTTCTAACTCATAGAAACCCTATAGGACAGAGTCGAACCGCTCCACAGGGTTTTCAAGACTGTAAATATTTTGGAAGTAGACTGCTCCATCTTTCTCCTACAGAGCAACTGGTGGCTTCAGACTGTTGACCTTTCAGTTAGCAGCTGAGTGCTTAACCGCTGTGCCATCAGGGCTCCTTAATAATTGAACAGTAGACATAAAATACAATGATTAAAAGTACAGAATAATGGTTTCTGTTAATGGTGGTAGAATAATTTGGAAAAGAATAATGTGATAATATTAGTACATTAAGAAGCCCTAGTGTCACACTGGTTGAAGCACTTAGCCGCTACCCAAAATGTTGGCAGTTTGAACCCACTGGTTGCTCCATGGGAAAAAGATATGGAAGTCTGTGTCTGCAAAGATTTACAGCTTTGAGAACCGTATGGGGCACCTCCACTCTTATAGTGAACTTATAGGCTCTGCTCATATAGCATCACTACGAGCCAGAATTGACTCAAGGGCAGTGCGTATGGGTCGTTGGTTTGCACATTACCGCAGTAACAGTAATGGTGGTAATAGCCAACAGTGTGCTGAATATAATCAATGTCACTGGATTGCATCAAGGAAAACTGTTGAATTGGCAAATCTTTGCTGGGTATATATTTAGCCCAATAAATAAATGTTTTTATTTTAAAAAATACACTATTATAATAAAAATTGGAACAAACAGAAAAATAACAGACGCCAGCCAAAAGACATCAATCATCTCATTCAATGTAAACTACTTAAGCACTCCAATGAAAAAGTAGAACACATAAAACTACCAGATTTAAAAAAAAAAACACCTCATTTTAAATAGAATAAAAAGGATGAAAAATACGCATCATGCACGCATTAAACTTAAGAAGGCTGGCATGAAACTGAACAGGTAAGGGTGGGTGAATGGGACTACACCCATGAACATACACAGGTTTGGCAGAGGACAGTTCTACATACATATCTGTATGTGCTGTAAATATATCGATGCATATAGCAGCAAACAGGTGGCAAAGTTATGAAACTTCTTTGCAATAACCAAACAACTTGAGAGAATGAGTCACTGGGCTTGGGGGCTTAGGACCACAGTCTTGGAGGAAGCAAGGTCAATTGGCATTACATAGTTCACAAAGACAACATCCTACATCTTACTGTGGTGAATAGCAACTGGGGTCTTAAGAGCTAGCAAGTGGCATCTTAGCTGTCAGCTATTGGTCTCCCCACCGGGAGGAAACAAGAGTGAAGAAAATCAAAGACTCAAGGAAACAATTAGTCCAAAGGACTAAAACACCACGTGAACTACAGCATCCACTACCCTGAAACCAGAAGAACTAGATGGTACCTGGCTATCACTACCAACCACTGTGCTCAGCATCACAGAAGGTCCTGTATAGAATGGGATAAATATGTAGAACACAATTCAAAATCTTAAAAAGCTAGACTTATGGTCTGATTCATCCTCACAAAGCATGTTTCAAGATCTGTCCTGAAGTACAATGCTGTCAGTGATAGGATAATATCCATACGCCTGCAAGGAAGACCCGTTAATATGACTGTTATTCAAATTTATGCCCCAACCACCAAAGC